GGAGGGTGCTCATGCCTTGCCCTTGGCCTTCTTGCCCTTGGCCTTTGCCCCCTTCCCCTCCTTCCCTCTGCTCTTGGCCCTCTTCTTCCTCTTGGACCTGAGCATGGAGCGGACCAGGTAGCCCTTCCACACGGCCTGGATGAGCGTGGCGGCCCGCACCATGCGCACCATCTCCTGGTCGGCCTCCATCCTTTTTCTGGAGCTGACTTCCCGCTCCAGGCGGATCTGGGCAAACTCCTCCACCAGGACGTCGTGCCTCTGCCTCAGCTCCTCCAGCTGGACCCTCTCCTCCTTGTGGACGCTGTCCAGCTCCTCGTATTCGTCCTGGGGAGCGCTGGGTGGGCTCACCGGCCGGGCCTGCCTGCCGGCCTCTGCTGCACACAGCCCTGCCCTCCCCGGGGGGCCCCTCCCGCCCCAGGATACCAGCCGCAGGCACTGAGTGAGGCCTTCTGCCTGCAAGGCCTGGAAGAGGGGAAAGGAGACCGGGCCTATCCGAGCTCAGGGCTCAGGCCGCCGCCAGTGGTCAGCAGGCATCCCTGGCCCTGAAGCCAGGGCCGTGGGTCACGGAGGGTATCACAGAGCTGGGTGGGGGGCTTGAGGGCCATGGACCAGCCTGGGGCCTCTCCGCCCCCCCATTCCTAGAGGATTGTGGGAAATACACTTAGACTTCTGCAGAGACAAATACCTGCTTTTCACTCATCTCCGTATCATATTTCTGGATCCAGTTCTCTATTTCCGTCTCCACTTTATATTTCTTCTACAAAAACATGCAATCGGTCATTGTTGGATGGACTAGTATTAACGACAAACAGTGCCCAGCACTCTGGGCAGCAGCCGGCCCTGCGGTGGGTGCTTTACACCCCTCGCCTATGAATCCACACAAGGCAGGTCTCCATTTCACAGATGATGAAACTGAGGACCGGATGTGCTAACTCCCTTTCCCAAGGTCACAGAGCCGCGAGCTGCTGCAGGGCAGGATCCCATCTCATCTCTCCGCCCCCAGCCCCCAGGCCCCTGTGCCACACCCTCCTGCCTCCCAGGGGGCGGGACGCTGGCTCCATCCTGGGCTTCCCCAGAGGCTGGGGCAGCCCTGCCCTTCACGCTGGGCCTCCCTCCGCCCCGTCCCCTGCCTTGTGCCTCCCCTGTGCCCTCCTGCCCGCTCCCTAGGGCACCTTCCTCAGCGCCTGCTCTGCCTCGCGGTTCTCCATGACCAGGTTGTGGAGCTGCGAGTGCAGCTGCAGGATGTCCTGCTGGATCTTGGCCACCCTGGCCTGCGAGGCCCGGAAGTCCGCCTTCTGCTGCTTCTCCGCCTCCTGCCTGGTGCGGAGGAGGCTGCTCTCCGAGAACTTGAGCACCTGGTGCAGGTGGTTCTTCAGCTCTTGGATCACAAAGTTCTCCTTCTCCACCTGGGCCAAGAAGAGGAAAGGCCCTGTGAACACCTGTGGGACCCCTGCTCACCCCCGATAGGCACAGCCTGATCACAGACAAGGAAACCGAGGCTGGAGGGGTCCAGTCGTCTGTCCGGGATGCTGCAGCTGACCCCGGCATTTGAAGCCAGGTATGCCTGATCTAGAGCCCAGGTTCTTGGGCACCCCCCTCTCTTTCCTGGCAGGAGTGCAGGGCACAGGAAAGGTCTGGAGACAGCTCGACACTCCTGCTGGGGAAACAGCAGGGGCTGCCCAGTTGGCATAGACACAGTGCGATGCAAGATGTGACAAGTACACACCGCAGGACTGCCACCAGCTCTTCCTTGAGGGCCTGGCTTGTCCCCTACCCTCGGTTCAAATACAGGAATGGGTGCCCAGCTGGTGAGGCTCCGTGGCTGAGCGTTGACCCAGGAACCAAGAGGTCACTGGCTCCATTCCAGGTCAGCGCACATGCCTGGGCTGTGGGCTCCACCCCCAGCAGGGGGCGTGCAGGAGGCGGCCCTGGGATGTTTCTCTCTCATCGATGTTTCTAGCCCTCTCTCTCTCAAAAAAATAACAAATACATTTAAAAAAAAAAAAGACGTATCTTCCTTACTGTGAACTCCATGAGGCTGGGACCACATGGGCTTAATTTATAAGACCTGGCACCTCGTAAAGGACTCAAACCCCTATTGGAGTAAATGAAGGAAAGCGTCTGCTTAAGTCGCTGGGGGGAAACCCAGCTGCCAGAGGCTTTGCGCGCCTCGCTGGCTCCGCGGCCAACAGCGCGCGGGGCCGGTACCTCCGCAGCCCGGTCCTTCAGCCTCGCCGCCAGCTCGCTCTCCAGCGTGTCGATGAGCTCTTGGTTCCTCCTGTTCCGCTTGGTGATGTCCTGTATGAACTGGGCCTTGTCCCGAGCCTCCATGGGGCTGGTGAGCAGCTTCTCAAACAGGAACCCCCGGAGCTCGACCAGGCTGTCGATGAAGCTCTGGGCCCCCGCGCTCCGGCTGCCCGCCTGCGCCCGCGCCTGCGCCTGCAGGAAACCGGCGGCCTGCGGGTTGGTGAGCAGCAGCCGCAGGATGCTCTTGGTCGAGTCTCGGATCTGCTGCATCAGCGGCGGCAGGTGGGATCTCCGCTCCTCCAGCGAGAGGAGGCGGTCCCTCAGCCACGAGTCCTCCTCGAACTCCTCCTCCTCCTGCAGCCGCCGCTCCTCCTCCTCCAGGCTGGCGACGCCGTCCTGCAGCACCCGGCACAGGTCCGCGTGCTCGCTCAGCGCGCCCGCCAGGCGCTCGCCCAGGCCGCCCGCCAGCGCCTCCACATGGGCGGCCGCGAACGACAGCAGGCTCGCCAGCTCCGCCTTGTGGATGGTCTCGTCCAGGACGGACATGATCCTCTTGGTCTCGATGGTGGTGAGTTTGGTGTTGGCGGGGACCAGGCTTTTCAGCGGGGAGGCTGCCTTTTTCGACGAGTCTGACATCAGCCTTATCCTGTTGACTTCGGGGCCTTGGTAGAGGGAGCCCGCGGCGAGGACCTCTAAGGCCATCTTCCGAGCGGCCGGCTTGGTCTTTGCCCGCCCTGGGAGGCTGGCAGGGGCTCCCGCTTTCTGTTAGCCCTGAAAAAGGAAGGAGGGAGCAGTCAGTAGAGCTGTGGGGACATCAGTATGGCCGGTGCGGCCACAGCGACCGTAAACCTGACATTGAGGGTCCGTCTTAGGAGCTCTGCAGCTTTGACCCAGAACCAACCCCTCAATGAAAGCGGTTTGGAGCTTTGTGCCAGTGTCCCGGCCGCAGGGCTAGGATGGCCAAGTGTGGAGGTGGGTCTTGGGCACATGTGTCAGGCAGGGGCCAACCAGGAATGCTAAAATCATTCTAAGAAGTTTGTTTGTTTTGCTATTGCTCACCCAAGGAGAATTTTTTCCCATTGATTTTTAGAGAGAATGGAAGGAAGGGAAGGGGGGGGGAAAGAAACATCAGTGTGAAAGAGACACATCGATTGGTTGCCTCCTGCACGGGCCCCAAGTGGGGCCTGGGATTAACCTCCAACCCAGGTACATGCCCTTGACGGGGAATTGAATCCAAAACCCTCTGGGTGCGCTGGCAGATGCTCTAACCACTGGGCCACACTGGCCAGGGCCATTCTAAGAATTTAAATACGGAAAAAGGTGATACAGGTGATGGAAGAGTTGAAAGGCCAAGCAGGGCCAGGTGAAGCACACACGCACCTCCCCCGCAATTGTTACCGGCAAGAAGGCACCAGGGAAGGAGGAGGTGGCGAGCTTTGGGATCAGGGGCGCCCTGGGGAAGCTGGAACCACAGCCCCTTCCTATCCTAGAGGAACTGCAGCCCCAGAGGAACGGTGGCCACTGCCAGAAACACAACCCAAAGCACAGGGGGAAGAAATACTCTGGTTTCTCCCTTCGTCCCGCCCTCCAATCTAACTCCAGTGCCTCCCATTGGTGAAACCCAGTGAGGAACTGACTGGCAAGGGAGCTGGGCAATGACCCTGCTGGGGGCAGCTGCCCCAGGCCCAGGGCAGATCAGGGAGGGAGCAGACGGGACTAGGACCAGCACAGCACATCTGCGCTGGGTTTTAGATATGGATTTTTAAAAATGGAGATACAATGTTTAAAAAACTGTTTCACTATGTGCAACATTGTATCCTAGATTGACTTCTAGAAGGGGAAAAGGAATCAAGTGGATAGTTGAGTCAATAACATTGTATCAACGTTAATTTCTTAGTTTGGACACACATCGCGAGGTTATATAAGATGTTAACTGTAGGGGGAGCCGAATGAAGGGCATACTGGAATTCTGTACTATCTTCGCAACTTTTCTGTAAAGCTACAACTATTACGAAATAAAAAACCTACTTATAAGACAGCTTCAGAGAAATCTACGGGGGCAATGTGATGACTAAGAGGACTATCTCTGCAGCAGCCGCACTTGGGTTCGGACCCTTGCTGGGGGATCTTGAGCCGGTTATCTAATCCCCGTAAGCCTGGGCTTCATCGCCCATGTGACGGGGATCTTCAGATTCGATGGGAAGTTTCTGGCATGGGGCCTGGACGTTGTGAGTACGCAATAAATAATAACGGATATTATTAGCCCAGGGAAACCGAAATCCCAAGTCCAGGACTTCGGCGATTTCCCAGTCTGTCTCTTGGCCCCGCTGGAGATCCAGGGGTGTAACGTGCCTAAGACGGACCCCACCGCGTGCCCATCCCTCAGCCTGCGCCTTCTTTGTCCCTTGACTAAGAACAAGCAGGATTGGCACTGAGGCTGCTCTGGGCCTTGGCCAGGCCAAATGGATCCCAAATTGGAAGGCTCTGGAGCAGAGGACTCGTGGAGAAGGGCGTCTCTTTCATTCCCACCCACTTCCTGCTCTTCTGTTAATCTCCTGAGTCCCTTTAAGGCTATTCCCTGAAAATAACTTTCTAAGGACAGCCACGGACCATCTTCTGTGAGGGTGAAGGATCTGTGCCCCGTGGCCACAGGACGAATGGGACCGAAGTGTTTAATGAAGCTTCTTCTCCGCCTCCCCCCCCAAGCTCGCAACATAAATCAAGAGGCCCGGATTCTTCAGGGATGGCGGCTGGAAACGCAACGTTACATGAAATGTTTCCAATTTGCTTTCAGCCAAATTACCTCTTTTGCTTTAAAGGGCAAACTTGTTTTCTTTGATTATGATGACGCCCATCAGTTCTTGACAGCTCATTTGGGTGAACAAGAAAAAGCCCTCGGAACTGGGATTGGGGGGAAACGGGTCTGACTCTGATGACAAAAGTCGCTGGAGAATCTCTCTTCCTTGATTTCTAACATGATCATTTCGTGTCTTTTTTTTTTTTTTAATGCCACCAACCTTGATATTGAAATCATTTCCAACTGCAGCCTCTCCTTTGAAAATTCCTGCCCTGAGAGTCGAAGCGAGATTGTTAATGGATGGGGGACTTTAATTGGATCGTCCCTTTATTTGTCATTAATTCTGCTGATGAACTTTATAAATGGAAATATATCTTTATCATGCAAATTACGCTTCCGCTTCATTCAAGGGGGCTGGTTGGATATTTTATTACTTTCACTCTAAGAACATTTTGAAGGAAAAAAAAAAAGGTTTGCGGTAAATTATATTTTTTCCTCCTTGGGAGAAAAAAGGGTAGAAAAGTTAACCTTACAACTACCCCACAAATCCAACACTGGTGTGTGGAGAGCGTTAAGAAAGCTGGAGTGTGCGTGAAGGTGGGGGAGGGAAGGATCTCATTTTAAGGAATGCCTTTTTAACATTGGCTAATTCTTGAGACCATACTGTGTGCCAAACACCATTCTGAATTCTTTACATGAATTAACTCATTTATTCCTCATAACAACGTGATGAGGTCAGAGCTTTTATTACCTCCATTTTTTTTTTTAAAAAAAATGTTTTTATTGATTTCAGAGAGAGGGAGAGGGAGAGAGAAACATCAGTGATGAGAGTCGTCGATGTTTCTATCTATCCCTTTCCCTTCCTCTCTCCCTAAAATCCATAAAAACATATTTTTAAAAAAATAAATGAAAGAGTATAGAAAATATTAGAGCGCATTGCATGTAGTTAAGTATCCATTTGTAATTAAATACATGTCTGCTGGGTCAAGGTGGAAAATGTATTTGTGTTCGAAAGCCCTCATGTTAAAGCCATTAGATGGGCTGTGGGATATAACCTGCTGCTATTATTTGAGAGCTAAGGTCAGAGAGATACTTTTTGCTGATTCTCTGTATTTCAGATGATCTTGATTTGTAATAATTTTGCTTTCAGTCCCACTAACTAGGGCCTGAAGGGAAAGGTATCTGTGTGTGTGTGTGTGTGTAGTGTCTGCTTGCATGAAAATACCAGTCTAGAATAGGGTTTCTCAGCTGCCACACTGTTGACATTTTGGGTGAGATAATCCTTTGTTTGGGGGCTGTCCTGTGCATTATAGCGTGTTTGGCATCATCCCTGACCTCCACGCACTCGATGCCAGGAGCACCCTGCCCCCACTACCAGTTTCAGGCTGATTGGAGACAAAATGTCTGCAGATATTGCCAAATGTCCCTGCAGGGTGGGAGTGTGGCGTGGGGGTGCCCCTGGCTGAGACCCACTGGTCTAGACCTCAGTGGCCTCGCTCTGCTATAAAATTCCTGGCCTCTCCATCCCAAGTCTAGGGCTCCACCCAGGGTCAAGGGAAGGCCTGTCTGTTCAAGTCTGTCCCAGCTCTATCTGACAAGCTGACATCCGTGTCATCTAAAGGGACCATCAGTTACAGAATCAAGATCTGAGTCACCAGCTGGTGTTAGGAGACCTGGGTACATGACTCGCCCCTGTCAGGAGCTCTGGGAAGAAGTCTGGGCAAGTCCCTTATCTCTCTGGCACCAGGGGATACACCTGTCCCAGCCACATCAAAGGGAGCTGGGTGGGGGAGGGATGACATGGTTTATGGGAAAGCCCTTTGGAGAGCTAAAAGCCCTCTTCAAAGGGGTGTATTATAATATGCTCAGGCATGACTCAGGTGGTACACCGGCCTCATTGCCCTAAGCCCTTCTCTCCTAGGGAAAAAGGAAAATTGGGGGTGGGGGGACACCTAGCAATTGAGCAGGCAGGGAAGGCTAACCCTTTAATTCAGTTTTTCACTGCAAACCAAGTGAAAACCCCAAGCTAAAACCCTGGCTTTTGTGTGGGACCACACATGCCTGGAATGTGTTCCCGGGGGACGCCTCGCCCAGAGCCAGGGCAGAGTCCTGCCTGGGATGCCCCTGGCGGCCTGTCCAGCTGGGAGGTGGGGAGATTGCTGCTGTGACCCTGCAGCCTCTGTTACAGCTGCTTCCCATCAAAAGGCTGTTGGGGGCTTTCTGAGTGAGGGTGATGTCTGGGAAAGGAAGCGGTGGGCTAGATTCTTGCTTTCTACTAAAAACGTGTTTATATTCCGACAAGGCGGGAACAGCGGCCTCAGAATTCACTGCTTCTCACTCTTGGCTTCCCCACCACTTTGGGTCCTTGGCCTTTTGCCCTGGCTTGGCCTGGTTCTCCTAGTTCCTAGTTACCATTCTCACTTCCTCCCGGCCACCTTACAGGGGGACTGGGGAACAAGAGAGTCTCCTGGATTCAGCTGGTTAGAAAATTCAGCCATCACATCTGCCTTCATTGATTTTTTTTTTTTTTTAAGTAAAGATAGCCATTTTTATGTTTTTACTTATTTGAGAGAAAGGGAGGGGGGAGAGAGAGAGAGAGAAACATTGATGTGAGAGCAAAACATCAACAGGCTGCCTCCTGCAAGCCCCCTCCCAGTAATCGAGCCTACAACTCAGGCCTGTGCCTGACCGGGAATCAACCGGCAACCTTCTGGGGCACAGGACAGTGCTCAGCCAACTGAGCCACACTGGCCAGGGCTAAATATATGCATATTTAAAGTATGGGAAGAAATAACTCTCTTGGAGCTATTTAAGCAGGAAGAGTCAAGGACAGATGTGCTTTAAGGGGGGAAGGTGCTGCTTTTCACTGAGCACTTACTAAGCTCCTCCGCTTCCTGCCAAGTTCTTCATTGCCTTGCCTTCTTTAAGCCTCACAACAAACCCTGTGTCTTACGTATGTAAATGAAATCACGTTTTAAAGACAGGGGTGGGAATTAAGTTTTAAAGTTAGCACAAAAGGCAAAGATTGGCATAATCAAAATGAGCCAATTTAAACGCTCGGTCCATTGCGGGCTTCCTCCCCTGGACTGCAGGGCCCTTGGGTGGAATGGGAGGGGACTTATAAACCATCCTCTCGCCCCCAGCACCTATGTTTGACTTGAAATTAATTAACTACGATGTGACTCCACGTTTTAGGGGTGAGAAAGCAGGACGGTGAAGGTGATAAGGTGAAGAAGGGCAGAGTCCAGGCAGGGACTACCGAAGATGTCCAGTGGTGCTTGTAGGCGGGGGCTGGAGAGCAGGGGCCGGGGGCCGGGATGGGCTCGCGATGGGGCTACTGATCCCTCATTGAGCCAAAGGATAGCAGGCTGGACGCCATCCCGCATCGCCCCCTCGTCCCAGCCCTTCCCCTGGTCACTCACCTGCTCTGAGCGCTCCAGGTTTCTTGGCCCTAAATTTCCTCCGAGGTACCTGCGTTGCTAGGTTACGCGCCAATCTCAGAAGGCGGGACTCGGCGCCTGACTGATTTTCCTTTCCACCATTCAATTCCGCTGAGTTCCTCCCGTCTCGAGGTCTGACCAATGAGAGGCACCGTCTCTCTGACCCTCCACCAATTGGAAGACGCAGACTGCCTCTGAGCTTGGCTGAATGAGTAAGGCGTGGAGAGTGGGAGGGGAAAGGGGCGGGGATTCATGGCCCCGCCCCTTCTCTAGGGAGTCCTGCCTCGTCAGTGGGCGAGAACTGGGGAAGGACTTGAAGCTTGGCCAATCAGAGCTCATCATGGCTGCCTAACTAGCGAATAGGCCGCGGCTGAGGAGGAATGGGGCGGGCCGGCGGGGTGGAGGGGACGGGAGGCGGCGGATGAGAGAGCTGGCGCAGCTGCCGTGGTGGCAGCAGCTGAAGTGGCGGCGGCGGCGGTGGCGGCTGCGACAGCTCCGCGCTCGGGGCTTTGG